TTTTGGTTTACATACTTTATGCCAGACTCTGGTCATTTAAGTGTGTTAGCTGCAAAAGAGCTTTCTGACATCCGGACATAATTGTACACTTAATCTTTGCTTGAATGTGTGACCTACGGTAGCACCTCACAGCAGCTAGAACATTTGTTCTCTGGAAGCAGAAGGGGAATCAGCAGGCAGATGCCTGAGAGCAGCAGCCTGAGAGAAACACTGACAGTCACAGATGGAAAGACACTGACTTGGAGACATTAAAATGGACTATTTCTAATCTTCTCCTCTTGAAGAGACTGGGGATCCAATGAAAAACATATCCAGTAATAGAAACAGAAAGATGTTATTTTGTGGCTCCCTTATAGGCTAGAGCAAAAGCATAAACCAGTTGGAAAGCATGATTTCTTTCAATCTTTCTAGATTTCTAAAGTAGCTTCTCATATATAGATGCTGGACTAAGTATATTTGGACAATTGTCAGTTTTAAATGATTACATTTAAAAGATAAAGCTCAACAAGTGCTTTTTATTCAGGAAAGAAAAAGTCTAGCTTCTTCCCCCATGTTAATTATTTCTCAGAATTTTTAAATAGGTACTAACCTCTGACCCGTGTTCCTGTGGCGTCAGTCCTTTGAATCCCACCAGCCAGCACCATGGCCACAGCAAGCTTTACTAGATACATCCCAAATACTTGAGGGCACAAGCTGGCCAATATTTCATTCCTTCCTAGGATAGGCAAAAAGATCAGAAGTCACCAATAATTATCAAGAAACCCTAACTGAAATTTCCCTTCCTATCCTAACTGACTCGTGTTCCTATAAACATTCTTTCTGCAATCTGAAATGATCAAGAGGGCAAATTCTAAATGACTAAAAGGAGTAAATAACTTTTTGGTTCTAAAAAGTCCTTTTCTTATTAATGCTATGAGATAAAAAATCTGCTTTTTATTCCTGGGTGCTACTTAACTTTCTATAAGTTTATTATACTTTAGAAGGGATGTAAAGAAAGGAAATCTTTTCTCCCTCATCTCTGACCTATCGGGCCAACACATCATCCCTTAAAGTAACACCGGTTGTACTTTCTGTGTAGTAATTTCAGTAAAATTACTCTTCTGCCTAAATACAAGGGAAGTGTTCAGTCTCAGAAACAATGATTCAGATCATAGGACCCAGTAATCTTTAAACACAGATGTAGTTGTAGCTTATGGAGCTTCTCTAAAAGTAAGAGAAGGAAGAGAAGTAAAATCAATCTACCCTGCAAGTCAATTCAGCATTTCCTCTGGGCAGTATGGTAAATTCTGTTTTATCTGGAATAAAGTTATATGGGTATCAGGTTATTAAGATCATTGCAAACTACAGCCCTAGCAATGTAAGCTAGAGATCTTGAATTCTTCTGATCATGTGTCCTGTTTTCAGAATTATCAAAGAGCTGTCTGAGAATCTGCGTATCTCATCCACATATAAAGTAAGTATTTTATTCAGTCTTTGACCTAACAAATCTACAAAATTCTAACAAGCCATTCATTCCTGAGCATTTCTACAATTTATGGCTCTATACTACACAAAGGCTACTTTTTGTAATGAATCAAAATTGACTCAGTGGCAGCTAAGCTATGGTGATGTGACCTGAGATGGCAGAAATGGTGAAGAAAATATTTTAGTAAAAAAGGAACCAGAAAGAAGATTTAGTAAATCCAGGAAGTCCATTAACTGCCAGAAGGAATCCCTCCCTTTCCTGAGGGAGAAAGCCCAGAGGAAAAAGGTCAGGAATTTAAGCATATAAAAAGACCTGACAGTAAGTAGATAAATTGTGACCAGAATCTAGAAATTACACAGAGAAGGAAAAAAGGAATAGCCCCAATAAGCAGATTTAAGTGTAAGCAACTGACCAGGGAGTAACTCAAGCCAAAGCTGTTAAACAGCCAGCTTTTCTGAGTAAAAGAGAATTCATGACTAATGTGTTGATGGGAAGCATATCCCAATGGTGAAGAGCATAGGCTATGGGGTCATGTCTGGATTCAAATTCTGATACTAGCTGTCTGACCTTGGACAAGTTTCTTAACCTCTCTGCCTCCATTTCCTTATCTGTAAAATGGAGACAGTAGTGGTATCAACATAGAATTGTTAGGATCAAAGAAATTAATAAGTGTACGGCACAAAGAACAAAGAGTACCTGGCACATAGTGGGAACTACTTATTTTATTACCTGTATTACTTGTACTTAATTTCTGATCTCAAGATTTCCTCACACTGAAGTCAACATAAAAGATAGACTATGAAGGTAGGACTAGGGTACCAGAGAAAAACAAAGGGAAAAGGCCATTATCCTAAATTTGTCTAAGTTGAAAAACTTGATTACTTGGATCATGGCAGTAGAAGCTCCCATGGCTGTATCATAGAAGAGAATGCATTAGGGTCAATACTACCCCCGTCTCCACCTCCCTCCTAAATATGTGGTTCTAGACCATGTCAATAATGTGTCAACAGCCTAGTTATCACCTCTTGTGGCATGGCCCTCAGTTATCCCAATGAAGAGAAGCTCTCAGATCTAAGATAATTGAGTCACCCCAGAGTGGGTTCAGATGGCCCAACAGACCCCAACCCATACGTTTGGGTTTCTATCGAGTATCTAAGCACCAGGGTCGAGGGATCCCTGAGGTCACGGCAGATCAGAATAAAGCCCCTAGAGTCAGTCTAGTCAATACCCACAGGATAAAGTCTTCATAAAGCAGGTCAACCTCCAAGAGCAGGGGAAGCAATCTCCAGCTTTAGACTGGCAGAAGAAGATGCCCTGTTGGACACAGCTTCCCACCTTCACCTCTCCTTCCTGCCAACACACAACGTGAAATGGCAAAACACGATGCACTGGTACTGGTCAATAGGAAACTAAGAAGGGAGAAGCCATTTATACTAAAAACAAAAATGTTGCCTCATCTTCTCGTTGTCTTCCTACTTACATTTCTCACAAGGTTGTTATATTTACTTCTTTTATCTAATAAATGGGTCATACAACTGTCTAATTTAAAAAAGCTAGACTGGAATCACCAGCACAAACACTGAAGCTCTGGTTAGAGTACTGTGAGGTGGCCTTCCTTCACCATCGTATGGTAGAGTTGAGGCGTGGCACTGGAACCGATAAGGAATAACCATGCAAGGAAAAGTTACAGATTTTTATAAGGACCTTATCCTAAGAAACCATTTCCAGTCAAAGAATTTATTTAAAAATATATATGACTCTTAACCTTGCTTCATAAAGCCATAATGTAGAGAACTTTTGGTTCTTTCTATATAGATCAAATAAAAGAAAGATCAGGAATGACTACGTATGTGCTATACGCATAAGCAAAAAAAAAAATCCCACAAAGGCAATCCCATATTTAGGTAAATGGAAGCCTTATTTTGTGAAATATCATCTATCTAGTTCAGCATGTGATTTAAGAATAAAGTACTCAATATATTAGATTTGAGGTGAAGTTTATTAGAAATAGTCTATTACTGGCTTCTGTTTATTTTTCTGAGAAGATGCCTCCAAGGAAAAATGAAAACTAGCATTTGAAGACTTAATTGGTGTTTTATACATTTGGGACTTTTCAATAAAAAACACATTACAAACCCAAAGGCTGTGTGAGGTTTTATTCTATGTAATTACACTAAAGTGTCACAGTCAAAATTTTTGCTGTGATGACAAAGCTTACTGCATAGTCTATCCCTCATCATCTCTTTCCTAGTTACTCCCTATTTTAAAATCTTCAGCCAAAATAGGGTGAAGTTATCTTTATTACTGAAAATACATCAGAAGAGAAATAATGGCTTTAATATGACGAGGTTTCCTAATAGGATAAGTTTTGCCTTTTTAAAGAACTGTCTTTTTAATTGATAAAGAAGGTAGGAAACTCAAACTGTTTTTATAGTATACAAGGTGTTTAAAATAATAGTTAGAAATGGAAAATCTACAGGAAAATCTCTAAATAGAAAAGACTATGCCATAAAATGGCTTCAGAGGGAGACTACAGCTAGAGGTACTGACTAATGCTACCCCCTTTGGACTCAGCTGTTGAGTTATGCAGTTTGAAGGCTGTCCCCAAATCATAGACATCATATTTAACTACTGAATGCAATTCCATTAATAATAATCAGCTTTATCCCCTTAATCACAAACCTGCAAAGGGATCACTCTTATAGCATTCCCAAAAATCTGCAAATTCCTTTCGGACCTCCTCATCCATGGGGATCCCTGAGGACTGCTCGTTATTTACTTGTATATAATTGGCTTTCAGGACTATCTCCACTTCACAGCGCACATCTTGCTGAAAGGGCTTCCACCGTTGCATTACAACCCCATAAATAGTGAGGTCATCACCTGGGAAAAAGCACCAAGTGAGTCCAGCAGTAGCATCCTACATGTGGGCACAGACTCACATGACAAAGGACCAGAAATTAGAAATAAATCACTCTCCTACTAGGGTTCAGAATATATACACTCATCCAAAAAACAATTTGGATGCAGAACACCCCAGATTCCCAATTTTGTTTTTCCCCACAGACGCTTGTATAGTGTCTGCACAGTGAAAAGCTGAAGTCAGCAATTTTATTTTTCACAATCTACTACATAATAATCACACCAATTATCCTTCACTAGGAAAATATTAATAGTTTACTGGATATAATTTATTCATCACAGTTACACTGAGTGAAATGTTCATTCTCAGAGTCTCTAACCATTTAGTTCTTATTTAGAGAAGAGAGATGGGAACTGCAGCCAGGTTAAACTATAATCAATTTGGCGTCAGCAAGAGACAACCTTGTGATGACTGACACCTAGGTTTAGTTTCTTACATGTTCATTTTTTACTCACATTTGTTAACATTTTGCTCACTATCCTTTTTTTTTTTTCAATGAACCAAAGAAACAATGAACTAAGAAATTAATGAATACCAGTTCTACTTCAAAGTTCCTTCCCATAAACTATGAGGGCACAAGATACAACCCTACTTGTTCCTTCTTGGTGGTTCCTTCCTACCTGAGGAAACCCTCTCATTCTTGGTAGGCAGAATATTAAACTTCTACAGATTTTCCTATGGGGTCTTGGGTAGTTTATAGGCACATTTACCAAACATTGCCATCTGTGCTTATCATATTATATATTAATACACTGCAATGCATCAGTTAACAAGTATATATGAATGTTTTGCACTTGATATTTTGGTACTTGAGAAAAGGGAGCCAAAAACAAAAAATGAAACAAAAATCATAATCCTACTCCCTCAAAATTTCAATCTTGTTGAACACAGGATATTGGACATGCCCCAAACCCAATCCTGGTATTTATATTTTGCATAACAATGTCTCAGAATTAACAGGCAATTCTTCATTTCCAAGCCTTTGTGGTAAGTATATATTATTTGCTGATGAAAAATGCCTTTCACTTTCTAAATTTCAATGTGTAATGTGTAATCTGCAGAGCTTTTGATTTCGTGAAGAAAAGTGTTCAGTAAATGCAGAATGCATGGAACTGGTGGTGCCAATTCACAGAATAGAGGCACATTTCCAGCTAAAGGCAACTTCACACTAAATGGTAATAAACATACTAAATCAGGGCTTTATATATATTCTGAGATCTTTCCTAAGCCACTCCTTGGATGATTTTCAAAGCCCATTGGGAATAATGATCTTTTACTATATTGTCTGCCCCCAAATTTTTTGATAAAAATGATTGGGGCAACTTTACATGAGCATGTGGAACAGTCCTTTATTATGGTCATTTTAATGGATATTTAGGTTGTTTCTAAACTAGTTAAATGAGGAACTTAAGTTTTAGATAATATCACCCATAAGCAATAATCTAATGTCAATAAGTGGTGATTATGTAGAATACTGAAGTGTGGCCAAGAGTACCAACTCTCATCAGATTTGGAGGTAGATCTCACCTCCACTGCTCACTGGCTATGTGACCTTGGGTAAATTACCTAACTTTCCTGAGCCTGTTTCCTGACCTACAAAATGGGAATTATATTTATATCATAGTGCAATAGGGAGACTATCTATAACACGGAAAGTGTTCAATAAATATTAGTTGTTATTATACTAAACCTAGCAAATGATACCTTTAAAAACCCTTCAATATTTATTGAGTGGCAGATTCATATGATCATCAGAACAATTGTGTGGTACATACGATAGTCCAAGGCAATAGATATTCCCTTTAAACTTTTGTATTTTTCAACAGTAAATATTATAAACAATGTTATTTTCAGGAAGCTAAAATTCTTACTTTTATACAATCCAATCTCTTTGTGCCCTGTATCTTCTGCAGCACATTTACTACCATAGCTGTCCCCAGTCAGACCTATCTCTCATTTCCTGCTGTACTGACATATACCAGCATACAACCTCTAAATTTATTACTCTGCACCAATTGAATTGGGGTTCCTAACTAGGCTCTAAGTTTCTGAAGGTCAAGGATTATACCATTATGTCTTTTGTTTCCCACAGAGGTTTGTAGCTATGGATAAATGAAAAAATAGCTGTTCACACATGCTTTCATCCATCCTTCATTATTAATGTCATTTGAAAGAAAAATAACTTAAGATTTATTTTTCATGCAGAATGAATTCAGTTTAGATGAACTGCGTGAAAACATCTTATTCTCTATCAAAGGATATTTTCATGTTCAGGCTGAGCTCATACAAGCACTGCTTTGCTGATCCAGATATTACATATTTAGGTTAAAATCTAGAGTCCTGTATGAACAAAGTGTTTGTGCCATTTAGCAGGCAATCCGTTAATCAAACCTGTTTTCTCCTTCATGTACTATTTAGACAATTATATGTTAATACAAGTCAGCTGTGTGCAACCTATAAGAGGGCCCTCACCAGAACCCAAACACGCTGGCACCCTGATCTCTGACTTCTAGCCTCCAAAATGAGAAATAAATGTTTGTTGTTTAAGCCACCTAGTCTGTAGTAATTTGTTATAGAAGCCCAAAATGACTAATGCTTGTAAGTTCAATTTCTTCCCAGTCTCCCCAGTGAGGAGAGGAAGAGGGAATGAAATGAATTGAGAGGGGCAAAGGAGAGCTTAGGACTAGTCTGGTGAGCCCGAAGATCAAAACATATTATCTCAGAATGACACTGCAACAACCAGGTTTCTGGAGCCCTCAGATTTTCAGAACAGCTCTGAGGCTCAGAAAGTCTTTCATTTGCCTGGGACATTGCAGATCCTCCAGATCAACTCCCAATGTAAGGCCTAAATCCCCAATGGGGAGCTGTATATCCTCTCTGCTTGACTGTCTATGAGAAAAAGTACTCATCATCATCCAACACCCATGCTGGACACTTGATTATGAGGTAGTGAGTCAAAATCTACCTCTCTGTAGCTTATCCTACTGAAAGCCAATAGTATCTTCTGTAATTATGATTCCATTTCTATATGACAGTCTTCCAACTATTGAAAGTTGGCTGCCATGTCCTTCCTGAGGGCTCTCCATGACAAACACCTACAGTTCTTCATTGAGTATGGTTTCAAGTTTCCTCCCAATTCCAGTGATCAGCCATTGAAAACACGAAGGACCCTCAGAGGACAGCAGACCAAAATCAATGGGACTCCTATCATGGTGTCACCAGCACAGAGCAGAGAGGAATGATCACTTCCTTTCTTCTAGGCACCAACAAGACCTGTAGTAGCATTTGAAAAAGTCACATCCTCTGATTCATTTTATATGACTGCCTATTAAATCCACTAAAATTTTTAAAGTTGCTGTGGTTAAGCTATGGTATACTCAAGAGAGAACTGGATTAGAAGTCAGTGGATCTGGATTCACGTTCCCGTTCTGCCATTTAACTCTTTAAGTGACCTTGCGCAGGTCAGGTTCTTCATCTATAAAACAAGCAGCTGGACTAGCTGTTTGTTGTGTAGCTCCAGCCCAGCTCTCTTTCCTGCTATCACCTCCTGTCTCTATGCCAGTCTCTATTCTCAAGGTGAGCAATTAAGCCTGCATACTTCCTTACTTGGGAAAATAAAAAGTGGCTTTTCCTAATCAATACTTTAGGATCTTGCACACAAGCTAATAAAAGTTTATTCTTACCAGATTTGCAACTGTCTACTAAGTCATCTTCCAGGACAACCTTCATAGATCGTGGAATACTTCCAACAGACAGCCTTTGAACCTAGCAAGGAAAAGAAAACAAATTCTGAGTATGCTTAAATACATACTAAGTATCCAGAAGCCTAGCAGTACTTGAAATTATTGTTTCCACTTCTCTGGTACTATTATATCATACAATTTAATTATGATGGGGATTTAAGTAGCTTTTCTTGAAAACTGTACCTACTATCAGTATAAGAATTCACTAAAACTAGAGTAAAATAAAAGCACCAATATGGAAAATATCTCCATATATAACCTACCCTATGGATGGTAAAAGTAAACATATGCTCCAAATACTAAACATAATGACAAAGTCACTTATCTAGAAAAGAGGGACATTTCTTTCCTGATCTCTAACCAAAAGACATGGGACAAATCACCCAGTCGCCATGATTATTCCTCAGTAACAGAACCCTGGTTTTATTCCATGCAGACATGTGCCCAACGAAAAGACTATATTTCCTGGCTCCCTTGAATGTAGGTGTGGCTATATGACGAAGTTCTGGCCAAATAAGCAAACATGTTGTAGGAGACTTCCAGGGAGACTGCTTAAGTGGTAACTTGGTTAGGTGGTAGCCACTTTTGCCCATCCCTTTTTTCTGTTCTCTAACTACAATATACATGAGATGAAGTTACAGCCACCATCCTGAACAACCATAAGAAGAGAAGCCATGTATTAAGAATGGTGGAATAGAAACACAAGAGTCTGAGTCCTTGACACTTAGCTAGCCTCGGAATGCCTATCTCCTACTCATTTTAAGATGAGAGAAAAAACTCTGCATTTAAGCTGCAAGTAAATGAAAACTAGGCTCACTCTCCTATGTTAAAAAGTGTTTATGTATACCTCATTTGGCACAGCAAATAAAATTGGGCCAAAACTCCAAATCTTGTTCACGCCAATGTTTAACAACCACTTAAACATTAATTAATCTCCTATCCCTTAGTTAAGAACATTTATTTTATTCTATCCCTCAGTTAAGGACAGCTAGGTTGGACTTCTTAAGTATTCCTTTAATCTTAACATAATTATTAAGTCATTCCACAACCTTCTTGTCAATGCTCTACCTAAAAAGGCGACTTGGCCGGGCACGGTGACTCACGCCTGTAATCCTAGCACTCTGGGGGCCGAGTGGGGAGGGCTGCTTGAGCTCAGGAGTTTGAGACCAGCCTGAGCAAGAGCAAGACCCTATCTCTACTACAATTAGAAAAATTAGCCAGGCGTGGTGGCATGTGCCTGTAGACCCAGCTACAGGGGAGGCTGAGGCAGGAGGATCACTTGAGCCCAGGAGTCTGAGGTTGCCGTGAGCTATGATGACACCACTGCACTCTACCCGGGGTGACAGAGAGAGACTCTGTCCCAATCAATCAATCAATCAATAAATAACTAGTACATGGTTTCTAAAGACTATATTCTGGCATATGTGGAACAGTTTCAAGCTTCATATTCTACAAAGCAATGACAACACAAGTCCACTTGTCTCCATTTTATGTTCCCTAATCCTATCAATTTTGCCCACAGCTGAAAAATACTTCTTTAAATTTATCTCATTTATGTGATCATTTACCTGCTCCTGAATTTTGATTTCCTGGTAATCCCTACACCTGGCTGGAGATGAAGACAAGCCTGAGAGGCAAGTGAATTTAGAGGAATCACAGCTTTCCAAGCTGGGACACGAGGATGGTCGGCAGAAGGTGTAATACTGCTCAAAGTCAGCCTTGACCACAAATACATGCTTGCATTTGTTACACATGTAATCCCGCTCAAACTCCAGGACCTTCACCAGACTTGTTCGAATCACTGTCCCAGTGACAGATAAAAAGTGTCCCACATCCTTGGTTCTAGGTATGTGCTCCCTCACCAGCTCAGGACAGACAGGCAAACCTAATGAAGAAACAAACAAACAAAAACAGCATCAACTTATACCTTGGGATTTGACTCCATAGAATATATTCTCATATTTCCTGGGAGAAAAATTATAATCTGAGAAAAAAGACAATTTTGTGTTTTACTTAAGAAAAAATCAGATCAACTCAAGAAAATAATTATTTCAAATAACAATTACCAATGGATTCTTTCTAAACGCACATAGCTGGATGCTATAATAACCAGGATTAAAAAAAGGATTGATTCTCACAAGAGGGCTATCTCAGTATGATCTGAATACTGGATACAATTATAACCACATTTAACAAAGAATATACTGCTGCCTGCCACATAGAAAATCAATTGACAACTCTCTGAGTATACCACAAAGCAAATTGATAAAGAGATGGTAGCATGATGTCCAAAGAGTTTCACAGTGCTAGAAATTTACTGGGTTTTTTGTAGTTAGATTCAGGATTCATTAATACATAAACCTGACAGTGTTTTTAAGCCTTGACTTACCTAGAGGTTTACCCACAGCATCACTTTATCCTTTAAAAACCTCGTGTTTTTCAACATTAAAAAACAGGTAACAGAAAAAATGCAAAACACTAAAGAAAATTCTTATGCGAAATGACCTCTTTCTCAGTTTGGCTACAACGCACCACTGGAGTACAAAGGTGCTAGCTGTGACGGTCAAAGGCTGCCTCCTTACACGTTTATCAGGGTAGCATTTGCTGTGCTGGTTAATGTCCCATGGCCCACTGTCTCCTCCTCAGAATTTAACAGCTCAAAAACCAGGTAAGAATGCACTCTGAAAGCCGATTTATCAGATTTTCCAGCTCATGAGAAATAACCATAATATGTATTATATCTTAAGTTTCTATGGTCATAAGTTTTCTCCCTGTTAATACATCTCCTCTGAAAGCCAAATAATAATAACAATAAGAAGGCAGTTTAGGAAGCATGGGGGGAAAAAGCAAGTTAGTTAGAGTAACTGGATATTTAAGGTGCCAGGCTACATTAACCTGGTTGTTATAGGTTACAAGTCTGCAGAAAGACTTAAATTTTCTCTGTTGGCTGAAGACACTCTCTCTATACACTGTATACTGTATAGACAGACAAGGTGGGCACTGCTAACATTTGCCTTTATGACTCCTTTTTCTAGGCTTCCAAAGCTGACTTGCCCATATTCTAATGGACATATTCTTTATTTATACTAATTCAGATTGCATCCCATTTTGCCACTAAGTGAGTCATGATTTTGGTTCATATCCTAGAATGTTAAGAAACAAGGAGCAACCAAAGTGGGATCTATCTCTCTTGCTTACCTGGCCTTAAATAGAATGTGTATTATGGCAACATAAATTAACACTGCTTGCAGATTCTTAGTTACCTTTCTTTTGCTCCTCACAGGAATACATTTTTAAAAAATTATGATATTCGCGTAGCAAAAAATTACCCTATAAAGTGTATAATCCAGTGATAATCAGTATATTCACAATATTATACAACCATCACCACTACCCAATTCCAGAACATTTTCTTGTACCCAGTAGCAGTCACTCTCCATTCCTCCCTAGCCCTAGCTGCTGGCAACCATTAATCTACTTCTGGTCTTCACTGACTTATCTATTCTGGACATTTCATATATAGATGCTCCTTGACTTACAATGGGATCACATCGTGATAAACCCACTGTAAATAGAAAATGTCCCAAGTTGAAAATGCATTTAATATACTTAACCTAAAAGCACCATAGCTTAGTCTAGCCTACCTTAAACATGCTCAGAATACTTATAATAGCCTACAGTTGAGCAAAATCATCTAACAAAAGCCTATTTTGTAATAAAGTGTTGAATACCTCATATAATTTATGGAATCCTGTTCTGAAAGTGAAAAACAGAATGGTTTATGGGTAAAGTATGGTTTCTACCAAATGTGTATCACTTTTGCACAATCACAGAGTTGAAAAATTTTAAGTTGAACCATGCAGGGATGTCTGAATAGAATCATATAATATGTGGCCTTTTGTGTTTGGCTTCATTCATTCAGCATAATTTTTTCAAAATTCATCCATGTTATAACACATACAGTACTTAGTTCCTTTTTGTGGCGGAATAATATTCCACTGTACAGACAGACCACATATTGTTTATTTGTTTATTCACTGAGGGACATTTGAGTTGTCTTCACTTTTTGGTTATTACAAATAATGCTACTACAAACATTTGTGTGCAAGTTTTTGTTTGAACACCTGCTTTCAATTACCTCCCTCATCTTTCTTGGAAGTAACTATTGGCAGTTTCTGTTTATACTTCAAGAAGCAAATTGGGTTAATCATCACATTTCTCACTGAATATCCTTCTATATACATACAATAAAGAGCACTTACTGAATGCAAACAGAGGAGAACAGAAAAAAAAAAGAACAGGTTAATAAAACATATTAATACAACAATAATTTCTTTCCATCTTTGAAACATTCATTGTCTCTTCCTTGGCCCTAAAGAAGTATCATTTTTGCCTCCCATTTCTACTGCCCTCACCCCAGTTCTGCTTCAGATGCAAACTGAAGTTCAGTAAGACAGAGTGACTTGCCAAGTCTCCCAGCCTAGCGGGTAGTTGTAACTAGGTATCCTATAAATTCTTTTCTTTTCACCACCCCATGCTATGTCTTCCAAGAAATGGTTTCCATGCAATAAACTAATGAAAAACTGTTACACTGCAGTGTCGCTTTTTTCTAAAATTCTCAAGAGTTCTGTAGAAGTCTTAATTCAACTCTATCTACTCTGCTAAAAAAAACCCTCACTTTTAAAACAGAAAGTGAGGGTCAAGAAGTCCTGGAGACAGGAATTCAAGGACATGGCTCTACCACCACAGGTTGCTGACTGCTCCCCTGCAGTTTCTTAAACATTCAGATGCTTCATCTGTCATGTATTCAGTGAAAATTTATTGAGTGCCTGGTAGGTGGAAAGCACAACACTAATCTTGAATAAAAATAATTTCCTAAAATAGTTTTGAAGATCCCTGGGCAGAATCTACCACTTTTTTAATCCTTTGTATTACCAATTCTTTTATTGTTAGTAGTCACAAAAGCTCAAAAAGCTGTTTTGGATTACAATTTTATAAACACACATGGAAATATATAAACATACAAGTGTACTGTTGTCTCTACACATTCTCCCTAGTTTCAGGTGGCATGGCTAATACCCAAGCCCAGAGAACACAATCATTATTCTGCTCTCAAAGAAGTGACCATCAACTACACAACAGATACAAATTTTAAGTATAGATATCGATTATTTCTTAGTGTTCTGAATCCAAAATGTGTTACGTTTGCTCAAAATCTTCCTTGAAAATAACATGGCAATAAAACCCTTAAGTGATTTACCTGATATCCTGGCATGAAGGTTCTGCTTCATGGAAACACCCTCAGGCTGAGAAAGGGACTGGAGAATTGTCAAGGCTGACCTTCGCAGTGCACTATCAAAAATAGTAAGTACTTCATTGGGGAACACGTTGAAGTATTCCCCAATTTCCATGTTGGTCTCAAAAAGGGTCATGGCATTAACCACAACTGGGTAATGAGCATCCTCATCTCTTTCCTTCAAGATTAGAAGAATATCATTCTTATGGTATTCTGAAACGTACGACTCAAACACTTGACCAACGAGTGCAACTTGATCGTTATTCATCTTGAATCTAGGTTACTAAAGAAAAAGAAAGCATCAGATCATTCCTTTGATATTCAAGATTTACACACAATTTAACAAAAAAAAATTGATTATAAATCATCCTGGCTTTTCATTAACCTATAATCACAAAATAATATCTGAATTCAAATCTTAATTAGATACAAATTACCTGTTACTGTCACTTAGTACATGCACTTTAAAAATGAGTGCAGTTAAATCTAAGAATTATGTTGGTACTGATTATCAGAATCCAAAACAGTTCAAAGCATCTCCCATATCTTTTCCCAAAACTTCCTCCTCATTAATCTTGTATTAGTACACAGCATGCACTGAATAAAGTTTCAGTCAACAAAGCATATACAATGGCAGTCCCATAAAATTATCATACTGTATTCTTACTGTAACTTTTCTATGTTTAGATACATTTAGATATACAAATACCTACCACTGTTTTACAGTTGCCTACAATATTCAGTACACTAACATGCTGTACAGATTTGTAGTGTAGAAGCCATAGGCTACACCATATAGCCTAGGTAGGTAGTAGGCTATACCATCTAAGTTTGTACACTCTTTGATGTTTGTACAACACTGAAATTGCCTAATGACACATTTCTCAGAACATATCCCCATTGTTAAGTGATGCATGATGGTATCATAATTTACATAACATACATATGAGGCCCTGCCTTTGACTACCTTTCATACACACACATTTGCTCTCAAGTATAAAATCTTAAACATCAGTCTTCTAGCTGAAGTGGAGTTCTTTGTGAGGGTCCTGGGTCTAGGTTTTGTTCATATAAAGAGCATATTGTTCTTTCTCTCTCTCTCTCTCTCTTTAGTTACACACACTCATTTGTATTCTGCTATGTATTAATAAATGGAACACATACTAATCAAATTGATAGCCAGTTTTAACTTGAATAATTAACAGATTAGCTTTAGAAATTCATATTTGGAGGTGAATACTTTCTCCTCTTACCCTGGGAAAACTACTGGCTTCAACAAAAACAGCTGTCAAGAATGTAAAGAAAATAAACAGTGGAAAGGAAAGGAACATTGAGTCTTTGAATGATAAATAATTAGGACTGAAAATAAATACAACATATACCATTACTCTATCTTATTCCTCTGGCAATCTTTTTTTTTTTTTTTAAAAGAAAGTGTATCTACAGATTAAAAGGGCCTACCCCCATTCTATTTTCATGCATATAGTCGGATAACGAATTACATAAGTATAAACCCAATTCGATGTCCATTTCCCAGTATCTACCATGTACAAGGCACTATGCTGGCAAATGAAAATCTTAGTAAAAGGTGCTCTGTGTCCTCAGAGATCCCAGGGACAGATCAAATGAAATAGTGCTCTAACCAGTAGTAAAAATGCAATATGAATAGGAGCACAAAGGAGAGAGGAATGAAATTTAAATAAGATGACAATCCCAGCAGTGGCACTGGGCAGTTACAAATAAGAAACTCGCATTTGGTTTGGAAAGAGCATTGGAGAATAGGTGTAATTTAATTTGCCTTATTTCATTTACCCATCATTTATTGTACTAGGCTCACCAAATATGAATATTAAAGAAGACTGTCACAAAATTCACAGTTTAGCATCCTAAAAATGTGTTATACATGCCATTTATCAGCAATATTTTGCCTTCTCTGAGAACCTACTAATCTGGAAGATGTGAAAGGTGTAAGGGGGCTATACTACAGTTAGGCCAAGAATCCTGACAACTATAGGACACCAGTGTGAGATTAAAAGATGAGGAAGTGTATATTTAAGAGAATGAGTGAAAATAAATTATGGCCATCATTCCGATAAGTAGTTTGTTTTTGGTTAGGTAATATAAATTCAGCCAAGTGTAAAGCAGAAGTTCCGGGATGGAACTAACCATACAGTATTTCCACGATGTGGCCTCTGCCAAAAAAAATAATCTGGACTCCCAAGAATGACTACAAGAGAATCTCTGAGATTCTCTAAATGCATGTTAAATTTAGAGCCAAATTTAGCAATTTGAAAAACAGCTCCACATAAGAGCAGGAAATGGGTAGCTGCAGAATCCAAGGTTCCAATTAAAGTCGGATTAAATTTTGCCTCGTTATACAAGCAATTTATAGGGTTACATGCAGCATCTTTTATAAAAATAGCATTCTCTTTCAACATCTGCGCAAAACTGACTAATCAACTGTTTTCTAAGTAGTCTGCTAACCCTGTAAACATTCCCATCCAGACACAGACTGGAGGCACTTATTGTTTTGAAAAAGGTCATTCCACAACTTTCAATTTCCCTTCCCTTTTTCTTATTGAACATTTGAGGTCAAAATTATTTTGCGTTACTTTGCCCTCCTGAAGCGTCAAAAAGACGACGGGAAGGTGCCTACCAATACTGGCACCTTGCAGGCGGCCCCTGGGAACCGAGGCGGCCCCGCCCCTCCCGCCGGGAACCGCGCCCCCTCCGCGGGGGGGGGGGCCGAGCGCCGCTCCCCGAGGCCGGCCCCGCCCCGCCGCCCTTCCCCCGCGGGAGCGCGCAGTCTCCGCGCCTTCTGCCCGGCCGCTAGGCTGCTGCACTGGCGCCCGGGAAACGTGGACTCGACTCGTTTTTGGAGGGCGCTTTCCAAACTTCCTTTCTGATTCAGAGGGTCTCTGCACGTAGCCCCTGCCCTACGACACCTCGGCAGGTCTCTGACACTTCCCGGGCTCTGCTCTCGGCAGCTCCCTCGCCTGACCGGTCCCGGAGTTGAATAGTTTTTGAACTAACCAGTCGTGGGCGAGACTTGGGACGAAGTGCAGGAGAAACAAGTAGCCGTGAAACGAGGCAGTGGCTGTCACTTACTGGCTGACACGCAGTGTCAGAAATCGCCGAAGACGCGCTGC